GAATTATTAGAGGAATCCATTTCTTTAATATGGTACAAAATTTAATTTATTAGAAATCAACGTATAGTCGTCTGATTTCTTTAGTATACAAATTATAAATAATATACAAAATAGTCAGGGAAATAAAATATTCCAATGCATGAAATATTGTTCCCTTTATATACCTTTGGATTTGGTTACATTTCGTGATTATAAATCTCCAATACTAGCATTGTAGAAATTATGCATGGTTTCCAAATGCGTCTTATTATTATCTTTTCTCATTTTGGATTGTTAAATATTGAACATTATCAAATCTGACAATCTTTATTATTCTTTTATTCTTATATTTTATATTCTTGACGTCATTCTTCTATCATGTAAATTCCGACATTAACAGCTACAACAGGGGAAATTAATACAAACAAAATATAATTTTTAAAATTTCATTGTTTTCAAATATTTAAATATATAAAGAAAATCATTATAAAATATCCGTGATAGTTTAATGGTCAGAATGGGCGCTTGTCGCGTGCCAGATCGGGGTTCAATTCCCCGTCGCGGAGATTATTTTTTTGGTTCTTTTTTGGATGTGTTTGATGTGAACGTATGTTCTCCTTTTTTCTCTACTCCTAGTATTGAATATTAACCAACTTTATCTTAACAACATTTTAATCCTTACTCCAAAAACGGAACTCTGAAACTTTAATTGTTATTCTATTTTTTTTTTTCATTTTAGATGCCTGTACACCTCGTTTCGAACCACGTTTCGGGCGAATTAATTTTCCTCATTTTCAGGAAATTAAAAAAATAAACAAGACTACCTTAACAAACATGAATAAGAAACACGAAATGGTTTCAAAATAAAGCTCAAAATAACATTTAGTTTTTTGCAGTACCAGAAAAGTGTATCACAAAGAGCAGAATTTCGAGAGATTTGTGTTGCGTCATGTCGCAAATAATGTATCCGGATGAGTTAGTCTCAAAGTTATTTGAGGAGATTGCGTACAATAAAGGTGAGATAAAATTAGGTCAGCTTTGGGATATCTCTAAAACTCTGGTTAATGTGAACGATGACTCAATGAAAAGTTTTGTATTTGCGTTACTCACTTCTAATCCTGACATTGTTTTATATAAAAATAAGAAAGAAGTTGAAAAGATGCCATTCAGTAGTTTGAAAGAAAACGAGGATAAGATTAGCATAGGTATCAGTGAAGATAAACTGTGGCTTATATTGACAGGCTATAATAAGAAAGAAAGTACAATTGGTAATTTCGCGTTTGAATTGCTTTTAGAGGTTGCGAAACACAAAGAAAATGGTATCAATACCATGTTATTAGCAAAGAATACCAAACAGGACTCGAGAAGTACAACGGGTCGATTAAAGAAATTGGCTCATTTAATTACTACCAAACAGTTAATATACCAAGGTCATTTAGTTAAGCAAGTAACCTTAAAAAAATTTCAAAAAGAGGAACCTGAGATTAAGGAATACATTAATATGAAGAATCATCTTGGTACTATTGTCAATATCGTCAAGAATTCCAAGAATGGTATCCGTCAGACAACAGATTTAAAAAGAGAGTTGAAATTTGATAAAGAAAAAAGACTTTCCAAGAGATTCATCAGTGCTATTACCTTTCTGGATGAGAAAGGATATCTCCAAAAAATTATGATTATATCCCCTAATAATCCAAACATTAAAGTCAAATGTGTTAAATATATTAAAGATTTTTCAGAGGAAAATAAAGCAAACTCATACCTTGACATGAACGATAGTTCAGAAGATGATGAAGATGCGGAAGATGGCGTCGAAGATAGCAATAACACGAGACAAGAAGAAGAAGAAGAAGAGGAAGAAATCAATAATCTAGATTATATCAATCCTTCATCCATATTGCAAGATAAGGGATTAATTATGGAAGATAAAGGCCAAACAAATAGGCAGGAGTTACTTCTCAACAGATTTTACCCTCTTCAGAATCAAACGTATGATCTAGCTGCCCAAACCGAGACGGATGGAATGCCAACCATGAAAGCTACGAATTTGCTAGTTGGAAAAGATTTTCAAAGATCCTTTGCTAAGGGTCTAGAGTACTATGCCCAAATGGTAGGTAAAAAGAAATTAGGTAGTTCTGGTCTAAACCTTGTGAAGATATACGATTTTGAAGGGAAAAAGAAGTTTTACAGACTGTTTACAGAAGAAAATTTCCAAAAAATGACGGATCCGACAAAGCCCTATGTCCCAGCAAAAATTCCTCCTATGAAAGTTCAGAAACTTTCTTTAGATAAATTGAATAAGAAAAATTTCGTTCTATTAAGCAATACCCTTAGATACGGTGTGAATACAGCGGGTGACGAAGTTTTCTTTTGGCATGGCTCTGATACTAGCTCATTAACAGCAAAGGATATAAAAAAAATACCAAAGAGTAAAAAGTTGAAACGAGAAAGTAAGGATGACCTCACTGAAGCTGACATACCGAAACTTAAGAAAATCAAACAAGCTGTAGTAGAAGAAGCATTAGTAAATAATGATGATAACGATGTTACACCTTTGGTTGAGTTAACTAGGCCAGAAGAAATGCCAATCACTGAAAGGCGTACATTGAATGTAGATGGGTTTTTTGCAACCTCACTAAAATCATTGCAAAGACAACGGACTCTTCTTGATATTGTAAGTAAGATGGGGGGTGTGGCATACCTTAAAGAATCACTCTATGATGATCTTTCAAAGGCTCTCGGTTCGAACACGATGGTAGACAAAAAAACAGCTCGTTCTGATGTCGATAGAATGGTGAAAAGTGGTAAACTGCTAGTCTATCATATTCCAGATTCAAAAAAGAAATTGATACACATACCTGGAATGACAGAAAGTGACCTAGAATTATATATGGACAAAGAAAAGAATAAGAAAAAGTATGTTTACTCTTCCACTTTGCATACAAGTGATCTTTACTTTTTTGATCAAATAGCCAAAGAGAGGTTCAATAGACGTGAAAAGTCTGTTCAGCGCTTACGTGACTTCCAAAATAGAAATAAATCAGACACTTTAGCTGGAGATTCAAATAAATATAGAAGACCTCGCAAACCTAGGGCCTCCAAAGCAACGGAAGCTGCAGGGCATGCTAAAAAGAGACGTGGATCATTATTTACTGCTATATCTGAGGATAAAAATAGTTCTACAAGGAAAAAGAAAAGTGTGGTTAAAAAGCTTGCCTTTCATGTTGGCAAGAAATCTGGCCTAGAGGCTTTAATTATGGCCGTTGTTATTACAAAAAGTATTTCGAATGAGATCCAGTGGGATAAAATTAGTTTGCTGTTCCCTAAGAATTCATTAGAGAATCTAAAAAAAAAATGGACTACAAGAAGAGTTAAAATGGGGCATAATGGCTGGAAAGCGTATGTTGATAAATGGCAGAGAATTCTTGTTCAAGCTATCAAGAATGAATATGTCTCTCTACAGGACGCAGAGAGTGTAAATCTCCCCGTTCTTATTCCTCTATGGATAACTTTTGAAGAGAACAGGAAAAATACATCTGTTTCTCTTTTCAAGGACTATGACACAAATATTAAAAGGTACACTTTTGTAAAAGATCCACCACAGCATTTTTCGCAAGCTGGTATGATGATGTCGTCAATGGTTCAAAGAGAAACCTCTTTACTAAAAAGCACATATGTGTACAGCTTAGACAATGCGAATAAAGACGAAGAGCAAAAGAAAGATCAAGAAGACAACATTAAGACTGTTATAAGGTCCATTCTTATGGACAGAACGGAAACAGGAAAAGATGAAATAGAAATATTGAAAAATGTTTCAAAGGAGGAGTTGGACCGTATTGTGCTTGATTTGGCGAAATCTAAACAACTTATTTTACGTGGTCCAAAACTTGAAGCATCTTCTTTAGTTGTAGAAATGTTAGAGAATAAAGGTCCCTATGCTCAATTTTCTGAAGCAGCAGAATACAATAAGAGAATCGAAAATATGTTATCATCCGGAAACGGTCTCATCATTAGTCAAGAGATTAATGATATTGCGGCATGGCAGTTAATAGATTTAATTGAGAGAAGAAATGTGTCACTTCAAGTTATCCCAGTCGAAAGAGATATTGGAAATTTCCATTATACCACAAGGAAATTTGAAATTGAAACACTGACTCCTCCTATAATCTGTTTAATGGAGAATGATAGCAAGCAACTGTTTAGTTCTTCGCCTCAAGTACCAGTTCCGCTTGGAGCAGCGTATTCTAGACTCTGGATAAATTCGAATGGTGGACTGCGTGAGAATATTTGGAAGCATCTTGTTGCGTTTGTCACGACTGAAATTTTATTTAGTCCAGGCATAATGATAGAACAGCTAGAGACGTTAAGCTATCACTTAGTCTCTAAGAAAGAATTATCTGATATTTGCAATTGGCTGATAAAAAAAGGTCTAATCGAAAGTCTGCCGTTCGATGGGTTTAAGGCAACGTATAAATGGTATAAGTTATTAGCATGAATATATATACATATATGTATAGGTTGTACAAAAAAGTTTTCTATAAATAATTTTTTATTATGGATCTACCAATCGTTATGAATTGTCCGCATGACATGTTAAGCACGAATATCTCTTAGTTTTCTGTCCCAAATTTTCCAGACATTTCGTGTGAAAACCATGATTACATCTAAACAGTACTATCTTCCCATTAAATATCTCTGGTTTCGGAATTTTTTCATCCCTTCTCTTGGCTTCCCAGATACGAGCAATCTTAGATTCCAAATCTATGCCCCAAAGTTTTTTACCACAAACCTCACATTCGTTGTTGATAAGTGACCAGCCTTGTTTTAAGGAGCTTCGGTATTGCTCTACAATTAATGACGAAGACTGCTCTAAAATGTTTAGTATTAACTTTGAAATCTGCTCCTCAAGATTATATGTGGTAAAAACCTCTTGAAGTAATTCATTAATGTCATGTACCTTCATTAGAATGATATCCTGTTCTTCAAGAACACCTGCCAATATATGCCAAAAATTAGTTTGTCTAGGGTCCACTTTCTTCCCATGCTGATTATTCAATGAATCATTTTCTATGAAGGACAATTTCACAAATAAATACTGAATGCATTTATTAATAATTTGTTTATCAGGTAGCCCCACACCACTACCACTGGTCCCTAACTTTCTGCTGTACTGTTTCACCAAACAAGATAGCAACTGAATCCAACATCTTTGTTTCGTTTCATGATCTCTTACCAGTGATGACGAACGGATTGAATAATTAATTAGATCAATCAGCTTTTCCTCCTTTTTATCAATTTTATCATTTAAAAACCAAATATCAATACAAATCACCATGTTTTGTACAGATTTTTCGTAGTCAGCCTGATTGAAATAAATAATTGCAAGTGCTTCGTAGTCATTTTTGGCAGTCAGTTTTTCATTAATGTCGTTAATAGTACTTGTACTCAAACCTTCGAAATCTAGCTTTTTCAACCATTGATGTAATTCGTCTGGCGTGTCATATTTACATGAGAGGCTAATGTATTTTTTACTCAAATCGGAGTCCTGCAGGGCAATAGATGTAGTGTTGCTTAGTAATATATCTAAGTACTGTATTTGAAGCTTTTCACTTTCTACATCCGAGCCAATAGACAAAATACAATCGTGTATCGAGGGATTTAGTTTATTAACATACGCCACAACCTTCTCGGTACCAATATACTTCAAAATCGTATTGAAATTCTTTTTAAAAATATCAGTAATTTTGCAGTACTCTAAGGGGTTTGAATTCTTTAAATCAAATTGTAGAATATACTTGATTGCGTCGTTTAATAATACCGCACTTTCATCTAAGGATATATCAATACCAGAGAAACAAATACTGAACATATCAGAGATTCTCTTGTTTATCTTGTAATAAGTCATCAATAAAAAATAAAACTTATTTTCTTTAAGTTGAAGAACAAATGATTCTACATTTGACGGTTCATATAGCGGCAACAATGCTTCTATAGCAGACTCAGCTAACGACATCTCTACAGTTGATCTGGAATATAATATAACATGAACAATAATGTCCAGATAATAACTGGATACGCGAATAAATTGAGGATATTTGGGTATATTTAACGCTAAGAAGACAGCAATAAGAACCTCCTTCTCAGATGGTTCATTAGAATTGATATTCATGAATTCAAGAAGGATATCAACGATATATTGTCTATTAATATTCAGAGTATACGTTTCACTATCATTTGAGTCTCCAACACCTTCATTTAATTGATTTTCATCTTCATTCAAAAATGTCGCTTCCATTATTCCATTCAAAGTAGCTAAAAATTTCGAAACATCATAATTCAATAATAAATTAAAATAGGGAAAAGACTGTTCACTTTCCTTATCTGTTGCGACATTCAATTTACTCTCACTCCCCAAGGGCCAATGAATCGCAACACCATTAAACAAAATATAAGATAGTTCTGATTTTATTTTATTAACCAGAAGTTCTTCTAGAGGTTGTCCTGAAGGGTAATAAGTGTCTGAATATAAATATGTCAAATAATCATATACAAAACGTGGATTTAATGAAGTTTTTTTGTCATCATTGTCGGGTATTTTAAATAGCTCACAATTTGATGTATCATTATCTCGAATCCAATATATTAAATCTATGAAAGGAGTTAAAAAATCTTTGAATTTTATATTCCATATGTATGGCAATAGAATTTGGTTTCGAGAATTATCAGTAGTTGAAATTTGTTGTAATTTTCTCACAAGCAAATCAGCATCCCAACAAGATGGTGTCAAATTAAATAAAAGTGTCTCTAAATTGCTTAAAATATTGTTTTCTTCTCCAAGTTGTTGTAATATCCGTTGGAAGATGGATGGTGGAACAATTGAAAGTGTTCCATTAGTAATTAGATCGATGATTGTCTTTATAAATGTCATTTTTATTTTATCATTTAAAAGGGCCAGTGAATCCCATGTCAGGTCAAGAAATTGTAAAAATTGTTCATCATTATCTGGGAACCATTGAGCCTGCACTTTTATGGCAAACCCAAGTAATTGATCCAAGGAATCGTCCAAGGTACCACTATCATCTAATTCATTTCCCTCATTAATTATTGATTCATGTTTCTTTAATAAGAATTTTAATGCTGCAAAAGTTAAATTGTTAAAGGTATCATGTAGTTGTTCTTTTCTTTGAAGTGGATCCATCTTTAGACTTAACAATGATGGAATGGTAAAATTTGGATCAGAAAATTTGTATAATTGGTCCAATGCTCCAAGATAATTTCCACGTTGGACCTTTTTAAGTGTTAAAGTTGACCATTGATTAAATTTAGCGATCTTTAATGAATAGTGCGTCAATAATATTAATTTATTATGATAAAATTTGAAAAATTTGTTTGGTGGAATTAATAAATTCTGTGGTAATAAGTCTATCTTCATAATAATTTTGAAATTGTCATAAGGTTGTACAAATATCAATTGATGTGATACAGTTAGGATCATTAGTAAGATCTTTGATACCCAAGTTATTGAAAGAATAGGTTCTGGGGCATTCCAAGTCACATCATTTTGTAATAACTGGAATTTGGTCTGTATGGTAGTTCTAAGGACTAATACTGTTATAGTAGAGTTTATAAAATATGATAAGTATACTATACTTGAGGATGTAGTTGGATCAGTATACCAAGCAATACCATTATTAGGTGCAATCCCATTACTATCGTTTGATAAAGTTGATACAACAATATTTTTTTGATATAAAATCAGTGGTGATTTTTTTTGATACTTTGACGTTACAGAATCATTTTCGTTCAGGGCATCTTCTAGAGCAGTTAAACAAAATAGTTTATTAGTGAGAATCGCTAGGATTCCATCTGATTTCCCAACTGTATGCAACGATGTAGATAACAATATTTCATTCGAAGGTACAGTCAATATACCTGTAGAACTGTATGTGAGTTGCCATAGCCGTGTCCTATGTCCATTATGATAAGTGATGTTCCCATTTAGATCACTTACAACTAATGCTGTATGTCTCTTCCCTCTAAACATCAAACCATTAATAGAAGATCCTATATGCTTAGTAATATGTATTATAGCGTATAAGGGTAAAATTTGCTCTATACTACTATTATTGTTAACATTTTGATCATTCTTATTGTCTGTAGTGTTATTGAGATCCCATATAAAGATATCTCCGGTTTCATAAGCGGCAGCTAAATGAGTCCCATCCCAAGAAACTGCCAGATGTGTCACTGGAGAACGAACCCCTTGAATCATATTCAAATCAATCGGGTTTTTATTCGTAGTAGCTTTACAACTAGGTGCCAAAATACTCTGAAGGTATTCCTTATCATCGAATATTAATACTGGGCCTTTTGTTGAACCTAGTACATAGTACGCATTTGCCGGCAGAAAACATGCAGGTCCACCATATGCACTAAGTAACGTATATATATGTGTAAGAGTATGCCAACTTAGGATTCGGTTTCCATCGATTGGTCCCCTATCGATGTCCAAAGTATGATCTTTGATATCTTGTGAAGGTATTGTAGCCGTAGGAGATGGTCTATATCGAAGTAAATCCATAATTTATTATCCTGATAAACAATCTAAGTATCTGCCAATATACATATATATGTTAATTAATCCCTGTTCAAAATTTTTAACCGTATTTCTTATTCTCCCCCTTTTTTGTCTTAGTTATCAAGTATGAGCCTCTAAGGCTTATTTAAAATATTTCAATCGTCAAAGGTAGCCAAACTTTTAAATGACGCGCGTTTGTTGTGAGAATTTCTTCGTAAATAAAAAGAATTTATTTTATCTTTTTGAGCAGAAAGAAAGAGTTCGAATCAAGAAGAAGAAGAAGAACTTGAAGCGATAGATCAGAAGCACATTTAGAGCAGTTCATCGACTACTTTTCATTTCAATTATATAGCTTTTCTTCTCTTTTGAAACGATGATGCAGTTACATAAACGGCTGTTACTCCCTCAAGCATACTTATCGAATTTCCATAACAGAGTTCGTAATGAGGAAGCCATTCCACTTTGTTCAGTGGTCCAACAGACCTCGAGAGCACACAAGAGAGCCAAAATCGTGAACTATACCGAGGTTGATATTGCCGACCCATTTGATGAAGCTGAGAATGATGGATTTGATGTGGATATGGATGGCAAAGGAGATTACGATACTGGAGATGTTGGTTCTCAACCGGGATCTCCAACAACGGAAGGAGATGAGAATGGTGGTACGAACTCTACTAATGGTGGCACTAACGCTACAGTCCATGAAGAAACACTACCTGATTTAGTTGACCAACCTGAATTGCTAAATATTATTAAATATCCACATATTAAGGAGACATTTATGCAAAGTACAGTGGCAACACCATATAGATTAAATTTACCTCAATCCACAGTAGTGGCTGGAACTTCTGGTACAAATGCACAATGTCATAATGAGGAACCTATTATTATACCTATTCATTTTGAGATTGAGGATAATGGTACTATATATAATGATTTTTTCACATGGAATCTTAATGATATTTCATTAACACCTGAAGAGTTTGCAAGTGTTTATTGTGCAGATTTGAATCCCACAGGTCATGATGATATGAGTTCATTACATCAACAAGTAGTAAGCACGATTAAAGAACATATTGAAGAATATGAAAAAGTCGCCGCTGTTAAATTACCAGATTTCCATGCTATCATCAATTTAACGTGTAATTTAAATGATAAATTTTATGATGATAATTTTCAATGGAACCTGAGCGATACAATGTTTACACCTGAAATGTTTGCAGAGATTGTAGTAGCGGATTTAGGATTAACAAGAGATTTTTTACCTTTATTATGTTATTCATTATATGATTCAGTGACTAAGATTAAAAAAGAGTGGTTGGATGGGAATCTTTCATTAGGGGATACAACATTATTGAATGATGCTGCATTTGGTTATTTATCAGGTATCAGGTTAGATATTGATGGATTAGGAATCAATTGGTGTCCTAAAGTAGAGATTCTAACACCACAAGAGATTCAAAAGAGAGAAATCGAGAAAGAAAGAAACTTAAGAAGATTGAAGAGAGAATCAGATAGACTCACAAGAAGAGGTCGTAGGCGTCTGGACGATCTCGAGACCACTTTACGGATATAACCCCCCCACAGAAAACAACAGGAACAATCCTGTATTGTAATATATATATATATATACATGTATACTTATAAATATATCTCTTTGTATGACTACAAAAGATATAATCTAACCAAATCAATTAGTCTAGAAAACCCATGAAATTTCGTTTATTCTTCGTTACTTTCTTATTATACCGAAGAGGGAATGAAGAAGAATAACAATTTTTCACTTAAATTTTTTGTAAAAGGGACGAAAGATAGAAGAAAAAATTTTATTTTTTGAATTTAATTGAAATGGAAGTGCTACTTCAAGGGAATATAAATGAGAGGTTAGAAAGAAAAAGGAGGGCAAAGGTTCAAGAAGTATTTATAAATGACAAGGATGAGTAACGGGAAGTCGTACCGTGAACAAGCAGCCCCATACCGGAGACCAATCTCGACCAGAACGAACGAGAAGATGTCGATGTTTGGTCGAATTAAAAAAAGTCTCTTTGGAGGAAATGCTAGCAACAACAACAACAACAACAATAAGGATGAATCTTTAAAACCACGAGGTTCAACCACTGGAAACAAACGTGTGATGAGTTCATCTAGTATACCGGGGGGATTTTTCAATGCGGACGCTAGTAATATATCGATTGTTCCACAACCTAGTGAAAATAATATTACAATGAATGATACTAATTTGGCAGATATATCTGTATCATCAAATGCTAAATTAGCTAGTTTTTTCGCAAGTAAAGGTGATGCACCATTATCTGAGATGGAAATGGAAGGTGTAATGTCCTTGATGAAGAAAGCCAATACGACTATAAAGGAAGATGATAATGATAATGAATCTGTAATCAATGGTACAATGGCTAGTTCTCATTATGGTGGTAATGATACCGATATTAATGTTAAAAATGGAAGATCTACTGTTCTACGAGGCAAAAATCTTGGATCTGTGAATAATTCATTCAAGATGCCATCTTTCACACCAAAATATGATCATTCTACAATGACTTTAGATCGTCATCACCGTAAAACTACCAATAATAGCAATAATACAATGCAACGTAATAGCTCGTTTGCTTCTACTGCATCTTCTACAAGACGAGTCTTTGATTATAATAGATTACCATCACCATATAAGACTGTTGTATTTAGATATAAGAGTATGAATGGAGATGAAACAAAAAGATCATTATTATCTACTAATGAGAAAAAGACAATTAAAATCGATAAACCTAAAAAAGGAGTTAGTAATACAGCTAGTGCATTACTATCATTATTAGATGGCAATCAAAGCGAATCAATGGATAACGATACTAATAATACTTCATTAGCAAATCCATATTCTACTTTAGTACCACGGATACGTAAGAAACCTGTACAAATGCAAGTACCTGTAACAATTGAACCTACAGAACCATCGATTATTAATTCAAAGAAGGAATCAGTTCTTCCAATTTCATCTGAAGTGGAAACTATTGAAAAAACAACGAAACCTGTTACCGACGCACCAATAGAATTACCAAAGAGAAATAAACCAGAACCAATTGTTAACGTTACCACCACCGCAACCACTAATAACACAGTTCCATCTGAACATCCATTTAAATTATACAAACCTACAAGATCGTCATCATTAAGATCCAGTGTAGTGGCAGCCAATGGTAATAATTCTACAACAGAAACTAAAGAATCATCATCATTATCATCAACGCAAGCAACAATTCCATCATTTACATTTAAAAAACCTGAACCACAAAAGGAACTTAAAAAAATTGAAGTTGAATTAAACCCAGTTACTGAAAAGGTTCCGTTTACTCCAAGTACAAGTTTACCACAACCAAACATCTTTAACAACAACACCAACAATAATAATAATAAGAGTAGTGACACACCTACTGTACCACAATATGAATTTAACATAAGTTTACCATCATCTGATATTGATCCTAGTACAGTTGATGAAAAACAAGTTGAACAATTCAAATCATTATTTGCATTTTAGCAGAACAACAGCAACAACAAAATATCACGAAGGAAAATATATAAATATTAATATGTATATATATATATATGTAAATGCTTATAAGTCAAAAAACAAAAGAGAATTACATAACTTTTTGTTTAACGAAAAATGTAGCTAAATGTTTCATTTGCCAAGCACAAGTAATACCTAAAATAATAATTTGGATTACTGTCCACCACATTGCACCTGAATTAACAGCTTCAGATAAATCTCTAAATTGTGCTTCTCTATCTCTCATTAATTTTTGTTCATCTTTAATTTGTGCCATTTTGGAAATTAATAAATCAATTTTACCATGTAATGATTCCATGGTATGTCTTTTCTTTGAATCTAATGAAATGTCTGATCCAACTGACATTTCTAAATCAATTTTAGCTTTAGTTTTACTTAACCAACCTGAAGATTGTGGTTTAATACAGATTCTATGTTCACCAGATTCTTGGGTATTAAAAGTAAATTGACCTTCTGAACCAGATTTTTGATGAACAATTCTTTCATCACCATCGAAAATTTCTTCAACATCAATAATAACTTCTAAATCAGTTGAAGAATCGGGACTCTTATATGTCTTTAAAGAATCATCATAAATTTGAACTTTATAACTACCGTAAAACACACTACCAGCTGTTAATTCCTTTGAGAAACATTTTCTTTCATTACCTTCATGATAAAAATAGAACGCGTTAACGTAGTTAATAATTAATGATAGATATACAAATAGTAGTCTTTGAATAGACATTCCATTTGATCCTTGAAACAACATTATCACACTTCTTAAAAACACACACACAACGACGGGAGAGGACCGGAAAACAGGAGTTACTACTGTACTCAAAAACACTCAAAATAAACTTAACAATTCTTCTTATTCTACGTATTTTGATATATTCAATGGATCTTATTATTTTTATATTAAATTCGTTAATTTAGCGACACGTCGGCCGAATTTCATAGTGAAGAAATGGAAGTGAGACCAAGCACATCGTTCAGAGTGATAGCAGGAGGTTACTTATTTTAAAAACTGAGAAACTGGAAATCGATATAAAGACTACTTTCCAATCATTAAACTGCTGGCTTTTTTAATTGGAACGTGGTGTACATCTTTAGGGGCAAGCAAGGATGAATTTGTTGTTGCAGGACCCATTTCAAGTGTTGAAGGAATACCCGGAAAGATTAGTACACACAATCAATGGACCTGTGAAGACTACTACCATTGCATTCTCACACAATGGTGATTATTTAGCTACAGGGTGTTTAGATGGTACTATAATCATATATGATATGGATACAATGAAACCTGCCACAGTGTTGAATGGACACGTAAGAGCTATTCAACGATTACAATGGGGTCCCCATGGTGATTTACTTTTAAGTAGTAGTAGAGATATGACTGTAAAAGTTTGGGATTTAAAATTAATCGGTAATAAATTTGATATTGTTACACCAATTCATGATTTAAAATTTAATGGACCAATATGGGGTGCACATTGGATTAATGATAATTTAATTATTGTAAGTATATTAGAAGAATCGTTTGCAATGATGATTGATCTTATTACAGAAAGAAAATCTTTTTTAAATATTGATAATGATACTCCGTTAGATCAAGGTTATGTTTTAAATTGTGAATTATATCCATCATCATCACCATCATCACAACAAGATGATAGGATTATACTTACAGGAAGTTCAAAAGGTTGGATTAATTTTTTCAAGATTAAAGATATTGATACTTATGAACATTTATTTGGAACAAGAGTTTGCTCATCAAATATTAAACATCTTCTAGTTTCACAAAATGGTGAAAGATTAGTAGTAAATTGTTCAGATAGATCAATTAGACAATATCATCTCAATATGGTGAATCCAATTGAATTAACTTTAGAACATAAATACCAAGATGTTATTAATAGATTACAATGGAATGATATTAAATTTTCTAACCACGCAGCCGAATATCTTGTTGCATCACCTCATGGTAGTTCTACTCATGAATTATATTTATGGGAGACTACATCTGGTTCATTAGTTAGAGTTCTTGAAGGGGCAGAAGAAGAATTAATGGCAATTGATTGGGATTTTAAAGGTATGAAAATTGCTTCAACTGGTTTAGAAACTGGTGATATATATTTATGGTCACTTGTTATTCAACCAAAATGGAGTGCATTGGCTCCAGATTTTGAAGAAATAGAAGAAAATATTGATTATCAAGAGAAAGAAGATGAATTTGATGATGATGATATTGATGACGAAAATGAAAATAAGATTATTTTAACAAAGGAAGAAGATACTCCAATTGATTTAATTACAATGGATCCATGTGATGTTAGAGGCAATGAGCAAGTACCTTCTTTCGTCTTACCAATTGATTATAAAAGTATCTTAATGGTTCAAAGGTTGTAATGAATTCATTTGGTTTTTTTTGGTCTCCAGGGGTCGTGTCGCGTGACCTTAGGGTTTCAAGGTCCGGCAAAAGAGAAACACCAGTTTTTCCGGGGCGCAAAAAATTTAAAATTTTTCATTTTGAACGGGATTTGTTGGTCCCCTACATTTTTGTTAATGAATAATTCTGATGAAAATAACTACTGCGCATTTACAAAAGACACCAGACATATTCTGATAATATAAGACGGTGGTTGCTCTTCACTAAGTTCTTAAAAACCATGCCTTTTGTAATTGTTGTACTGTGATGAGTTTCTCACTAATAACATTCTTCTCCTCCGTCCTTCATTTTGAATACTTAATAGCTTTGGCATCTTCAAAATATTTAAAGCAAAATACATACAGTGCGCATTGACATTTCACTTCCCTACTTATTCCACCTATATACTCCAATTACATAGAAACAGCAATAGCATAACTTTATTACCGTTCATTCATTATGATTTGTATCGCAATTCCCTTTCTGCCAACATAACATAGGACAAATTAGTTTGCCATTTTTTTTCAGGGTTTCAATTCCCCCAGAAATTGTTTTCGGGGGATGCAGGGCCCCCGAAAGATGCTCGACCCTTTTTTTGTTGTTTTCTTCTCAAAATTTTCTCTCTTTTTTGTATGCGCTTTTTGTCAGCAGGAAACAAAGGAAACAACAAACAAAACTGAAGAAACTGACAAACAACAAAGAACATAAAATAGTTAAAGATAAAAACAGACATACACATACATTGATATAAATATACTCTATCATAATAACAAGAGAACAAGAACAACATCCATAAAAATGTCTGGAAATCTGGGGAATCCATTTATGAGTAATACCCCAACGTCATCACCATTAAAAGGGAAAAATAAACTCACTGATTCCTTAAGAGTCTCAAAGAGAAATTCTGCATCTCCTGCTAATAGTAATAGTAGTGGTGGTATATTAGGGATAACTGCATCACCAACGAGGAGACCTCGTACAACAGGTTCAGTGATATATGCTGATAGATACCTACCGACACGAACAGAGGTAAGTCTGCATGCTATATCATCAATTGGTAATAGTAGTAATGTACCGACTTTAACCAGTGTCGATACAGAAAATCAAGTTGAATCACAAAGAGAACGTAATGCTCATGAAACTTTTGATACTGTGTTAAAAAATGAAATCTTTGGGGAATTATTAACAAAGGATGCAATTTCAAAGGAGACAAGTATAGATAGAATTAAAAATACTACAGATATGATACAACAATCTTCAACGTCATCTTCATGGCTAGCTACACCATCTCCAGAGAGAAGACGTCAACAACACGATATGTCTGAAAATGGAGGAGAATCATCTTCAATATCTGCTCCAGTTACCCCAAGGAGATTATTTCCTTCAACGCAGCAGGATGATGATTTAATGTATCGATCTTCAACAAATTCTTCTCGAGGGGCAACTTTATTAAGTTATAGTCATAGATCTTCAACAAGAAGACCCTCCACAGCATCTTTATTACAATCACAATTCTTTGATCCTGTATCTCCAGTGAGACCAGAATCAAAACAACTATTATTATCTCCAAGTAAACAAACTAGAAAAATTTCAAAAGTTCCTTACAGAGTTCTTGACGCACCTTCATTAGCAGACGATTTTTATTATGATCTTATAGATTGGTCCTCTACAGATATGCTAGCTGTTGCATTAGGTAAATCCATTTTCTTAACCAATAATGCTACCGGAGAAGTATTCCATTTATGTGATACAGAGATGGATTTTACTAGTTTAAGTTGGGTGGGAGCTGGCTCTCATTTAGCTGTAGGACAACGTGATGGTTTAGTGGATATATATGATGTTACAAAGAAAAAATGTATAAGGACAATGTCAGGCCAAACAGATAGAGTTTCTTGTTTGAGTTGGAATAATTATATTTTATCATCAGGTAGCAGAGATCGATCTATATTGCATCGTGATGTAAGAATGCCTGATCCATTTTTTGAAAGATTAGAGACTCATACACAGGAAGTTTGTGGATTGAAATGGAATGTTGAAGAAAATAAATTGGCATCTGGTGGGAATGATAATATTGTAAATGTATATGATGGCACTTCAAGAACACCTACAGTGGTGTTTCAAGAACACACTGCTGCTGTTAAAGCTATTGCTTGGTCTCCACATAAAAGATCAACTTTGGCAACAGGTGGTGGTACAGCAGATAAGAAATTAAAGATATGGAATGTTAATACATCAACCAAGATTAGTGACAGAGATACTGGATCTCAAATATGTAATATGATATGGTCTAGAAATACCGATGAAATTGTCACTTCTCATGGGTATTCTAAATATAATTTGACATTATGGGATTTCCCGTCAATGGATCCAATTGCAATTCTGAAAGGCCATAGTTTCAGAGTTCTACATTTGACTTTATCAGCAGATGGAACCACTGTAGTCTCTGGGGCTGGTGATGAAACTTTAAGATATTGGAAATTGTTTGATAAACCAAAGCATAAAATACCGACAAACTCTTCGGTTATTTTCAATTCAGTTAACAGAATTAGATAGATATGAGGAAATTTTTTTTTTCATATCAATATTTGCAACGATATATATATATATGTAAAAAGTATATGTTAAAAAAACATTTATTTCATAATTTTGCTTTTTCTTTTGATTATATCTATTTTTTTCTTCTTTTGATTATTTAATATATACATACACATATATAGGGTATATAGGAAATTTTTTTTTGGCAGTTCTCATAATATTTTCACACATGTAGAGCCTCTGATAACTGAGTAGCAAGATAATCGGCTTCAGATTTGAAGTTTAATTTATGAATATTAGCAGCAGTGTATCTTATTCTTGTTTGATCATTATAAGTATCTTCTTTAGCTCTAACTCTAAAGTCATATTGATTCATTTGAATATTTTGAGTCACTTTTGTAAATTCATCTGGATTTTCATCTTTTAATTTAGTTAATTGGTTAGCATCAACCCCTAGTAATTGTTCTGCTTGTTCATTGAATAATGTTAACCATAGTTGATTTGTTTCATCAAGTACAGAGATTGTTAACATATATCTCCATTGTGGTGCAGCATTATTAGTATCACATCTTTCACACCTCCAAGTACCATCAGATTGTTCAACTACTTTCTTATTACAATTTTCATTAGAACATGCTGGATAAGCAAAATTGTCCACCTTTAAGAAATTAATGGCTGCTTTGACGTTAAAATAATCACCCTTTTCACTTCTACCTAAATTTTCATTTTGTGCTTTTTGAATAGTAATACGTTGAGCAATAAATTTAGTTGAATCACCTGAACCAGCACCTGCACCGACTTCTTGTCTCAAAGAAGTGAAGTTACCGGAATGACCGGTAGCATCATACCAACCTTTCAGTGAATAAGCTTCAGGAACTTCTGGGTTAGGCACCAAAGTACTTGTAAAACCCATTGATAAAGATTTACCACCAAAATCAGAGACACGTGCACCTTTAACAGCTACTACAGAACCTTCTGGTAAATTAAAGTCTAATGCTAATTGATTCCATAACCCAACAGTGATTGAGTAATTTGAATCATCAACGATAACAATATCACGACGATCAAACTTCTTACCTGCTCTAGAGGTTAATTCAAAATGTGGATTAACAGTTTGAATTATCCCAAGAACATCAACAGTTGAATTTTCTTCTTGATTTTCAATTGCGTTTAATTTAACAAAATCAAAATGAGTCTTTGGAACATTTGCTTCATCTTCACTTGGTTCAATGACAGATTCTCTATCTAGGGATAATTCATATGGATGAGATAAATTAGTGAATTGAGGTTTAGATGGTTGTAATCTTGCTTTAGAGACATAGTAAACTTTACCTTCTTGTAATAATTCATTATACTTAAGAGCCATGTCATTAAATGCTGTAGCTCTAATTTCACCAGAGGTATCCAAGAAATTGACGTTTAACAATTTACCCTCACCTCTTTGATTATGCCAAGTCTTAATTTCACCTTTGTAAGATACTCTAGCCTTAATGGTCCAAACATTTTGATATGGAGATAGTTGCTCAATGGCAAAGATTGGTTTCCCCTTTTGAGAAGCAGACATTGTTGATTGAGCAAACTTATTCTCTGAAGGTTGTTGGGCTACAGGAGCTGGGGCTGGAACTGGAGTCACAGATGTTTCTTGTTTCTTTTCAGTCGAAGAGTCAGAATTATTTGATACAGGAACTACAAAATCTCTAATATATTCATCTGAATGTTCTTCAAAATATTTGTCTAAGAAAGTAGTACTTGAATTGATAGGTTCCACACCTCTTTGAACTACTTCCATATCATCAATCAATAGAACAAACTTCTTCTTATCCTTAACAATAGCAGCTTCAGCTTCAAGAACACGAATAATATCACCTTTTTGTAATTCCAAAGAGGCGAATTTAGCAGCAGCTGCATTTCTTGCAAGGGCCTTCATGTGGAAAGTACCATCGGAAAGCATAACTAGATGCTTTCTAGCAGATTCTGCATTCTTATTACTATTTGGATCTGTCTTTCTAGTGTTTTGAATTTGATAAACCCCATTGTTTGGAGCATCAAATCTAGCTTTGTCAGTGAAAATCTTGTAAAAGTCTCTCTCAGTTAATTGAAAGTTACTCATTTTTCTTCTGGGTATATCGTTTAGTGTTTGTTTTCCTTACTAAAATAACAAGCACTTTCTTTTAAACAGGTGTTAAAACTATTTTATTTATTCTAATGGTCCCTTTTAATGAAATATATTTATTTCTGCAAAGCATCACCATATTATTATTATTTAATTGAATTTCACGCGTTCCATGACCAAGAAATAAAAAATAAAATAAAAAAAAAGCTCAGTTTTCGTGTTTCGTGACGGGTAACAAGAATATAACAAGAAATTTTGTGTCACAAAATTCTCACAAATATATAACTTTTCTATTCTTTGCATATACATGAGGTTGTGTTCGTACATTCTATCCTTGGGCTGAAGCTGTTTATTCTAATTCTGTTTGGTCCTTCTGAAAAGTCATTTAGGAAAATGATTCCAGGAGGGGCGGGGGGACTTTCCTGTGCGATGACATACCGTTCAACGTACTCTTCGACTACTATAGTTCATTTCAGACCTCTTAATGTAACTAAATATATTGATTAGTCGTTTCCAGTCATTATGTCTAGAGGTGTTTAAGAACCCACCAGGAAGTATGTCCTCTATCTTTTAAAATTTTGTTAATAATTCAACCATCATAGCATAGTTCAAGCTCTGATCTATGCTATGATATTAGGTTTTAAAACCCCTTACTTATTACCAAGAAGTCATAAAGACTTATCCTATCTTGTTCCACTTCATCCGATACTCTTAATATATAGATATATATAGTTTCATTAAATTCAACCAACACAATTAAATTTTTTTCATCCTTTCAAAGTAATTCAATTAATTAGTCGGTTACAGTGCTAACTGACCCACCCACGAAAACATGAAACGCATTACCCTTGCAATAGATTAAAACGGAGTGAGTTAACACACGGACCACAACCACAGATGCACAACCATGTAATCGTTTGACTTGGAATCGATCCATATATTCATATTTATTCTGTTTCACAATGTATCCACTATTTACTACGAAGAACGCAGAAAACATTATTTTACAGTGCGCCGGGGCCATTCATTGAAAATTCAATAAGCGATGACTTACAAGAATTTTTCAATTTCAAACTTGTTTTTATTCAGATGAGGCTACTTTTCTTTAGATATAATCGTTCCAAAGACCCAGAAAGGGAGAGCTATTTGTCTGGGCTTATCTGTTGGACCATTTGTTTATTGGATTAATTTCTGCCCTCTTCTCTCTATTGTTTTTACCTAATTTTCATTAAAGTAATCAAAGAGGGTTTCATTAGTCTAGATGCCTGTGACAATCAACCTCATATGTGGTGCTCAAGAAGACGGACAAACTATTCTATCTCCATTAATATTTAATATCGATGATATTAAAAAGTTAAGAGATGTCGGTATTTGTGGAATCTTGTCTGGGACATTACCATCAGCAGCACAACAGAACATTTTCTTGTCGGTGCCTTTAAAATTGATGATCGAAGAAGCAATCTGGTTATATTTAAATGGTTTAGCTGAATTCAAAGTTCTCAGAGGAGATACAGCGCATTTAGTTAAGGAGATATTAGATCGAGATGCTCATAATATCCACGTCGTTGCGAAGGAAAGACTAGAGAGATCTTTTGAATTACAAAGAGAATATAAAAGGGAACAGCATCGTTTGAAATTAGAACGATTAGGAATAATTTCTCCAGAAACATCCAATAAAAATACGAGTGATCAATCTCAAAATGATAAGTTATTAGAGGCATCATTGTTTATAGAGACCCCAACAACATCGAATTTACTAAATAATCTTCACTTAAATCATGAAAATGGGATCAATGATAATTTACTACATATTTTAGTCTCACAATATAGTAACTGGGACAATTTTCTTCTCTTCCAAGCGTTGAAGGATAAAGGTTATGTATTGGCTCCAGGTGGAAGATTTGGTGGGAAATTTATTGCTTATCCTGGTGATCCATTAAGATACCACTCTCACATGGTTGTTCGCGATGCATTACACTATAAGGATCAACCGTTGGACCTTTTAGAATTAGCGGCAAATGCTAGATTGGGAACTGCTGTGAAAAAGATTTGGGTCATAGGAGCACCAATTCCAACAAATGATAAGCTGGAAAGTAACAATATACCTTCTAAGAAAGATGTTTCCTTTTATTCCGTAGAATGGGCAGGATTTGGCTGATAAAATATCAGTTCTAGGGGGGGGTTACCATAGAACTTACGCGCACTGGAATATTACTGTATTAGTAGCAAGCTGCATGATAGTTGGCCCCAAGAGACACATAATTAGTCCCCCCTTAATTTAACAACACTAGAGGAGGGAGTGATTAGCAAATAAGAAGAATTGTGTTGCGGAAGAATATAAACTGCCACAGTTGTTTCAGATATTTCAAGTTAAATGTTCCGGAGCAACTTTTCCAACGAGAATATTCTGAACTTTTTCTGACTATACTAGAATGTTCCAAGATATTCTTGATTACTAATAGTATCAGTTTATGCCACCGTAACTTTTACGGCGCCAAATTCCAATTATTAATATAAATAGGAGATATATTTTACTCTTCTATTTATTTCTTTATGTTACAAATTACTGTGTATTATATGTAAATTATTTTCTATTACTAAACACAACAACTAAAAATAATTATGCAATCATATACGTATAATTATGTCAAAAGTTCACAATTCTGATGAACCTTCAGTAATCTATCTTGGCTGATTACGTTTATGGAAACCCCTTAATTGGTATGAGTGACAACTTACACCTTAACAATGCCCGTAGATATCTTTAAGATGACTTAAGGTTAATCTGCCATACAAAATAATAATTTTAATATCTAGATAAATCTATCTTATCACTGTAATAATAAGAATTATTGGGCACGTGGCGCAGTTGGTAGCGCGCTTCCCTTGCAAGGAAGAGGTCATCGGTTCAATTCCGGTCGCGTCCATTTATTTTTTTCGCACTGATCAGAGTTGAAACAATTGACTTGATATATTTGTATATATATTTAATTCTTTTTTTTTGGAAATTGAAAGGTAAATATAATGTCTCATCATTAGACTGGCTAAGACAATTCAGAAACCAGGAGTATCGAAGTGTGGTAGTTAGTTTGAAAGATAAAAATTGATAATCCATTTTTATCTTTCAAAATAACAAGAGTCCTCAATGGAATTTTTGATATCCTCTGATTCTCGAAATTACTGTTTGTTCGTGAACTGTACTTCGGATATTTTCAAAGATGATAATTGAACATAAATCCTAGATGTTCAAAACGACAACTTAAAATTGGTATATGAAGATCATAACCGGATTTAAAATGTCTATATATATATATGAAAGGACAATGACTCTTATAGATGTACTCTTAAAAGTAAACATCGAAAAGTTGAAGAAGAAATTACTTCTACAAACTGTAAAGCTAATAATATATAAAACACACACATGAAAGTTAATAGTTAGTGGGCAAAATATAAAGTTCAATTGTTAAACGAAACTCAAGTAAAAATTATACAAAGAAGTTTAATAGAAAAACTTTAATAAACATTGTAAAATGGTAAACAGGTAAGTCAAAAATCAAATAACTTCGAGAAAATATGTTTAGAAACTAATACTCTCATTAAATTAGACAAACAATTCGGTGTAGAAAATGAACAGATTATAGATGAACTATGTCGTTACACTACTCCTCATGTTCTAACTACAATTGAGAGAAAACATGGTCCGCTGTACGACTATTCAGCAATTGAGATTTTAAATTTTATTGAAAATATCATTGAAGCTGAAATAGAGGAGGATAAGGATTTAGGTTATACTAAAACAACCTACAATTCTTCTGGTATTAAAAAGGAACACCTTAGGCCAGCAAAAGAAACTAAGGAAAATAAAACAGAAAACACGAGGAACTAAAATACTTGACGCTGTTATAGATACTGGTGCAGGTATACATGTTACCAACAGAAAAGACTTACTTCACAGATTTAAAAAGATAAAGAATGGCCCTGAATACTATGGTGTAGGAGAAAGAACCAAACCATTAGATATTACTGGTAAAGGCTATTTAAAGGTAAAAATAGATAGCAATGAAAAAAGTAAGTTTGTGGAAACATTTTACTGTCCAATCGAAGAAGATACGATTATATCTGCCGATTCACTCCTAGAACAAACAGGGTATGAATTGAAAGATAAGTATCAATATCTTAGCAACGGTAAAGTATCCATAGATGTATCCAAAATTGACAATACACTATGGATAGAGTCATCAAAACTCATTGAGTCTATTCCTCAGAAAAAGATTATGAAGATAAAACCTAATGGTAAGAAAATTTCAATTAAAGAAGCTCATGAAATTATGTGCCACATTAATGTCGACACTCTTAAAGACACATTCGAATCAAATATGATCCCAGATTTTGGTGGTTTTATTGAAGACAATGGTGAAATTAAGGAATTCTTTTGCGAAACTTGCCAAGAAGGTAAGATGAAAAATCATAATCACCGAACAGACTCTATGAATTATCGTCATTCTAGTCTAGCTCCTGGGGAATCCTAGAGTTTAGATATTCGAGGACCTATCAAGTCACATTTAGGAAACACTCCGAAGTATATGCTTATGATGGTAGATAATCTATCCAGATATATGATGGTGAGTGCACACAAATCTAAAACACAGGAATCAGTGACTGAACAAATAATTAAAAATATTCGGTTCATTGAGAAACAGTATGGAAGAAGTGTGAAACAACTAATAACTGACAGAGGCACTGAATTCAACAATTCTTTTCTTAGGGAATTTGTGGATTGTAACGGTATTGAATTAAAGCTAACAGACACAAATGATCATGCCTCAAATGCAAGAGCAGAACGTTACATCGGAGTAATCAATTCTGATGTCAGAACACTACTGATTGATAGTAAATTATCATGGAGGTTCTGGCCTTATGTAGCAATGGCAGCAGCTGAAGCAAGGAATAGGGTAAAAAATAAAAAAATCAACTCTTCACCATATGCTTTACTGAGTGGAAAACCATCAAAGAAACCATTCGCTGCATTTTTGATGTTTGGTGCTCCAGCATTCGTGAAAGATCCACAAGGTTCAAAAACTGGTCCACAAAGTTTAAAGGCTTATACTCTCTGTATAGATCCAAATTCATTTGGATACTATTTTTACATTCCAGAGAGAAATAAGGTCATTTCCAGTAAAAATTATCGATTAACGAAGGAATACGAAATATTGATTGAAGAGACAGAAATATTACCTTAAGAAACGAACAATTCAAACATTCCCCAAAGGCAAAAAGTTTGACGAAGCTTACCAAAAAGAACGGAATAACCTACTTAGAATGAAAGTCTTTGACCTGAACATTAAGACCCCTCGTAATCAAGTGCCTCAAGATAAAATTATACCAACTCAAAGCATTTTTACGGTTAAAAGAGATGGTACTCACAAGGCATGTATTGTATGTCGAGGCGATAAACAAACGGATTCTACCTATAGTGTCTACACAACTGACCTGTTGCAAATGGATACACTAAAACTCTTCCTAATGTTAGCTAATAACAACAATATGCTGATACAAACGTTAGATATAAATCATGCATTTCTGTACGCTGATTTAGAGGAGGAGATTTATGTACCACATCCACATGAAAGCAAAAAAGTTAAAAGATTAAACAAAGCGCTACATGGCGTAAAACAGAGTCCAAAACAATAGAATGATCTGTTGAGAAAGGATATTAGCAACAACAGTTGTTCCAGAGCAACATTTCCGACATGAATATTTCAAGGCAATCTTGATTACTAGATATGTAAGTTTATGCCACCGAAACTCAAACGGTAATAAATCCCTATTACTAATAAATAAATGGAAGATATCTTTTATTTCACAAATTACTTCATATTATACGTAAATAACTTCCATTAATAAAAAAGGACCACCAATAATCATTGTGTCAAACGTTCACAATTCTGATCCACCTTCTTTATTCTCTCTTTACCAATGACATTCACATGATCATCTAAGACAGTTCATGAAATCACTGGGACTATATGTATCAAAAAATGGTAACATCGGAACAGCCATAATACTGGGATATACCTACTGTTTGCTAGCATTATGTGACCATAAAGCACAGCAAGGCTGTTCACTTTTGTTCAATGGAATGAGAAAATAATCATGTAGAGATATATTTGGAATTTTCATAATCTGCGTATTGTCTTTTATATATATACAAAATATTAAACCCAGCAAAATCGTATCGCATTGCCCGAGCCAAAATATATAAAAAATAAATAAAATAGACTAAAATAAGATGGCTTACAAATTATCTGGTTCAAACATTCGAAAGTGAATGAAACAAAAAACAAGCTTATGGTTTTGTGCCGACTGCAGGTACTGAAAATATTCACTAATATCAAAGACTGCCAGCTCGAAATGAGTTTCTGGAACTGAAGCTGGGTTATACGTTTTGTTTGACGGACAAAAATAAAGAATTCTGGTGATGAGAATATTGCTTTTGAATTAAAAATTACAATGAACAATAAGGTAATTCTGATCACTGGTTCCTTGCAAAGACCCCAATATTTAAGGGCAGAGTCAGAATTAAAGCAAATAGAGGAGTTTTTTCAGTTGTAATTGAACAATTTTCAAAAAATTAGTTCGTGAAAGTAATATCGAATTACAAGAAACAAATTAAAAAAGTTCCAAACAATATGGATGATAACCTCATAAAACCAGGTTTGAACCCCATATTGTTGCGAATATGAGAATGAGATTTTGACCTCTTGTGCTTTTTGAACTCCTTGTTATTTAGTGAAGGATATTTCTGACATTTTATAGGTGATACTTGATCCGGTAGTGTTGAAGATTAAACTGTTGGATTTTGGAATTATTAGAGGAATCCATTTCTTTAATATGGTACAAAATTTATTTTATTAGAAATCAACGTATAGTCGTCTGATTTCTTTAGTATACAAATTATAAATAATATACAAAATAATCAGGGAAATAAAATATTCCAATGCATGAAATATTGTTCCCTTTATATACCTTTGGATTGGGTAACATTTCGTGATTATAAATCTCCAATACTAGCATTGTAGAAATTATGCATGGTTTCTAAATGCGTCTTATTATTATCTTTTCTCATTTTGGATTGTTAAATATTGAACATTATCAAAT